TTTGCCTGGTTGGGAAAAAAAAAGATGAAGCTCAATATGTAACTTATGTTTTTGATAATTTTGGTGAAAAACATGAAAAATTCTTACGTTGGCTTTATCAGAAAAATGGATCGATGTTTTGTTGTTTATGTGAAAAATATGGAAAGTTGAAAAATTCAAATGGTAAGTCATAATATTCTAAATATTTTTTTTGGATGGAATATATATGATCGCAGTTCTTGAATTATTCTGAAAACGTTTTTAAATTAATGAAGTAACAATTGTTTACATAGGAAAGGACAACGTTTGGTCTACAACTGGTATGGCGACACTTTCATTTGATAAAATTAAACTTCATAAAGAAAAGTCTGAAGTACATAAGCAAGCTGAGTCACAAGAACTCACTGTATCATCTCGTTCTCAACCTAATTGGCCTTCAACTAAACAAAAACAACTTAGCAAGCAAGAAATGGCAATACAGAGTCTCATGCTATCATGTATATTTTTATGTCAACAAGACAATTCTTTAAATTCTATTGAACCATTATGTGCACTACTGGAAGCATTAAATATTCAATTATTACCTGCTGAAACAACTGGTGTTAATTATCGAAATGATACAGCAGCTTTATCTTTTCTTCAACATATTGCTGATTATGTACATAGTGAATTAGTTGATAAAATCAAAAAAAGTCCCGTTACAGGCATGCAAATCTTCATATAGTTTTATTCACATTTCATTATTTTTTTTTGTAGGATGGATGATGGACGAATCCACATCCAGAAGTACTGAAAAATCTTGTATTATATATGTTAGATTTGTTGAAAATTTTGAAGCAAAAACTTCATTTTATGGGTTGGTAGATCTTGAGGGTGATGGGACTGCCAATAATATTGTAAAAGCACTTACTAATATGTGGAAAAATGATGGTCTTGATGCGACAAATTCATGTTGGTTAGCAACCGATAACGCTTCCACCTTTACTGGTAATGTCGTATAAGTATTATTAAGTCCTTTTAAGTCTAATGAACAATTTATTTAGGTATTCATGAAGGAGTTATTGCAAAACTTCGGCGTTATTTATGTATTGATTGGCTTGAAATTAATGGTTGTGTTGCACATTCGTTTGCTTTAGTTGGTAAACAAGCGTCGTATGAACCAAAAACTGCTAGTATATATTTGTTTGTATTGTGGTTTGATATTTTATTATTTTGTTTTTGTAGATAATAAAAAACCTGTGGTTTGTGATTCTGTTGTTAAACTTGAGTCAACAATTAGTCAAATATATAATTATTTTGCAAAAAGTACTGGTCATCAATTCAAGCTCAAATCCTGGCAGGCATTCTTGGAAATGCCTGAATTGAAATTCAAGAGAATATTCGATATTAGATGGTTATCTATACGTGGTTGTATAAAACCAATCATCGACAATGTTCAACCAGGTTTTAAATAATAAATAAGTGAAAGATTATACCTCAAAAATCTTATTTTTGTTTAGGTTCACAAGCACTCTTAGGATGCTTACAACATATTTTATCTGATACTGGTTCATCTAAATTAGAACGTGCAAATTCTAAACATTTGTTGGAATCAATACTGGATGATGAATTTTTATTCTTACTGCATATGCATTACGATTTACATGAAACAATACTTGGTAAGTTCTTACGTTTATCAAATGTATTACACGAAGGATTTTTTAAAATTTTGTTGCGTTTCTCTTTCGATAATCTTAGGACCTGTTACAAAGAACTTACAGAACGATAATCTTTCTTACTTTTATCTGATGGATATGATAGCAGAGAAACGAAAAATTTTACAACATTGGTCGTTCAAATCAACATCAGCCATTGGTCCAGCATTGACTGATTATATGGAATCAACTAAGTTAGGAACTTTTGGCGCATTTAAGCTTACACTGGGTGATCGTAATAAGTTCATAAATGAGTCTTGTAAATATATTGAACGACTAATCCATGAATTAGATAGGAGATTTAAACCATCAGTCGTCCAAGAAAGTTTATCAACATTGTTTGATCCACAACATCTATTAAAAAATAGTAAAAAACTTGATTCTGTTGAATATGGTCGATCTCAATTGGTTTGTCTTCGTCAAAAATATAAGAACTTTCCAGGATTTGATTGTAATGCAGTACGAAATGAATGGGAATCATTTAAACAACCATTACTTAATTTTATACAAACTTTTTCTTCGGATTGTTCAGAAAAATTGTTTTGGAAAAAATTTATAACATTAAAACAATCAACAAATAGTCTTTTTCTTGAGGAGTACAAAAGTATTTTAATTTTACTCAGTATTTATTTAATTTCGCCGACAAATTCGGCAGAGTGTGAGCGGGGGGTATGTAAGAGTTTTTTTTTAAATAGCTTTCTAGTGTATTCTGTTATATTCTTTAGTTCTCAGCAGTTAATCGAATACAAACACCAGGACGATCTCGTGTAATGATCTCGACATTGAATATTCTGATGTCTGTGCGAATGCTTTTACCTGATGATTTGAGGAGGTAAGAGACTAGATTTACTCTGTCGTTGTTATTGATAACAACTGAATATCTTTTTTTTAGTGCCCGATGTCAACATGTAGTTGTCAAAGCTTTTGAGTTATGGAACGACAAAAATTACTCGCGTCGTCTTAATGGAATACAAGTTTTAGCTGATGTATCCGATGATTATCAACCAGTAAAACAAGTTCGTTCAGTTGCTAAACGAAAGTTATCGTCTATTCAATCTGAAACTATTAATAAAAAACCAAAACGACCAAAATCATATGCAATTAAATGTGATCTGCTTATAAAATGTTTTTTAGTGCTATAATTTGTTTTTTTCTAGGTGCAAGTGGTTGTCGAACAAGTATTTCTAGTACTGATCCAACTCAATATGAAGCTATACAATGTTGTCATCAAAGTGATCATTTTAACTGGATTGATTATACAAACGATTGTTCCAGATGGTTATGTAATGGTTGTCGAATAAAATTCAAACTTACGACGGATTCAATTTGGTTTTGTTCAGATCATGTTGATATGTATAGTGATCAAGATGAAGAGAATGATGCTGAATAACATTTGATTCTATTTTTTTTATGAAACAGTAAATAGTATCTTTTTATCTTCATATGATAGATAAAATTGCATTTTCGGATGAAATATGTTCATCTTTATATTAAATAACAATTATACTTTTTGTTTATCGTGTATTTAGTACTGATCGATATTTTTGTGAACGAAAAACGTGAACATTCTTGTATTTCTTTAGTCTTTTACATTTTATTGAACTTTGCGTATGTTGCTTAAATAAGTGTACTTGCATTTATTGTGTATTTGTTCAACTAATATTGTTTAATTGCTTTATGAAAAAAACCATGAGCATTCTTGTATTTTTTACTTCTTTATTTTGAAATAAACGTCAACTGTGTACACTTTCATACACTTGACATACGAAAATAAAATGTACACATACACTTGACTAAGAAAAATACAATGTACATATACACTTTATTTTCGATTTCTATTAGAAACCCTGGTTCCAGTGTTAAACGATGAATTTCTTTTTCGATATTCTCAATGTCTGTGGCTTTTAGATTTTTCCATTGTTGATTTCCTTTTAAATATGCTGCCTGATAGAAAAAAATAATAGTATATTATATTTGATAAATAAAATATATCTTACTTCTCTCGTACCCTTGAAAACTGCAACATAAGACTTGATATAACGTTGATAAAGAGAATTTGCAGAGTTAGTATTTATCAAAATTATCTAAAATAGATAACAAACATACAGTTACAATCTCTTCGAGATTAACAGGACTTAGAAGTTTTTATTGTTTTTCTCTATATTTTATCCTTACATTCGTGCATAATATGGAACTAGTCGTGTAATCAGTCGATATCAACAAAAAGATAAAAGAAACAATGATATTGATTCATTCTTTTCAACCAATAACTCTATTTTATAATTTATAGCGCTACAATAAGAAAAAAAATCAAATTTTCGCGCGGAAAGAATATATGTGAGAAAATATAATACTCACATCTTTCTTATGAAAAAGTCGGTATATCTAGGGTCAAATACTGATGTTGATGAAAAGTATTCTTTTCGGATGTGAAGTTAGCATTTTATACTACTACGATTTTCTTTCAATACCTCGACTCTAAATAAATGCTCCTTAAAACATGAGATTAGGCGTTCATAAGCATGTCGACGTGTAAAATAATGCCGACAAATCATATTAAAATTGATTATTTGATGAATAAATATAGATTAAAATATGTTTTTCAGTTATAACGCTGGATTCTGCTTGAATTCACTCTTTTTCTGAGAGAAGCCTAACCTAATGCTTCCCGAATTTTTCCTATCTGTTATCTATCTTGCGACTGTTATCAATCCGAAGTATCTACTATATGAATTTGATATGATTTTCATGTGAGTAATAAACAATAATATAGTAGTTCTCTAGATTAGAGAATGGTGATCGATCACACGAAATAATTAGTGAATTATCTTTTGTATAAATTGATAGGGATGTTACTGAAATGGACTAGTGTTGACAGTATGCGAATAGTAATAATAGTGGTAGGTACAAATAATGCTTGATATAAATCTTCGAGCTATGTAAGGAAATATGTTATATCTGAGATGTTCTGGTTTATAAATGAGACTAATTATATAGTTGAGACATCATAAAAGACTTTTCACTTGTTCTATTCTATCAGTAATTCAGATTATCTCTCATAATATATTTACAACCATTGACGTTATCGGATCTTATTTCATCCTAATTACTAGAATTATCAACCCATTACACTACATTGAGGAGTTACTAAAGTGATCGCTAAGTTGTACAATATGAGAATCTTTTTATCAAAAATATATATTTGTACGATATTGTCGAAATCGACTAGCATATTCAATACTGGACTATGTGTAGATGGAATCGAATCATCAAAACTTGAGCCTGTTTGCAGCGCTCATACAAAGTTCTCTAATGTTCTATATCTAGATGAAGTACATCGAACAGTTAAAACCAAGACTTTTAGATTTGGTCACTTGTGATGATACTCATCGTTTAGTCTATTAAAAATCATCTAGCATATTACTAACCTGACGTTGTTGATATTGATGTTGACGTGGTAGTTGGTTCTAAATTTCAAAAATGAGTTTAGAAAGAGACTTAATGATTGAATAAAACTTTATTCCTAATTTCTTTCGTCTTCTTTTTCTCCAATAACCTATCGACTATAAATATGAGTACATAATAATAAAACAGCAAATTCTTAAACGCGTTGCATTATAATTACAATTCTATGATCTTTACTTTAAGCACATTTCCACTATTATAATTTTGACAACTCATTTTACATTTCTTATAAGTTTAATAATGAAATATATATTGCAGAATTATAAAGATTAACTAATATAACATTTGCATACTGCTACTGTACTTGAGATATCTCATTTTCATTCAAGATAACATTCCGACCAGAAACTTATCCTAATTCAACGATCAAAGCTCACAGCTTATGTGTAACTATCATAAAACGGAATCAGTTCACGTCGGCCTAGTTCATCGCTTGCTTTTCAAAACTATTGATTATCGTAGTGCAGATAGTTATACTGTTAAAAGATTCTTTGTGATACAGAGAAAAACTACAAAATGACCTCACTGGATTGTAATCAAAGTTTACAGGACAGCTTTATTTCTTTTTCAAACTATCATTCATCATCATCTCCATAAAAAAACATATTGTATTTTCTTATTATTTTTTATTTATTGTCTAAGATCTTGGAAAATGCGCTGTAAATTTACATACAATATCAAACAAATTCTTTTTTGAAAGACATCAATGCCAATTTTATTTCATCGAATAATTCTCTGTATTTTTTTTGTTATTTTTGCAAGTATTGATTCTTTAGTTTGAATAGGCCCATTTTAAGCCTCACAGAGATTTCGTTTACTAGAATATTTTCAAAGTAGAATTCGGAGAATAAGCCTCGAAACAAACAATTCAACTCAAAAAGGTTTGCTTCCGAGAGATGATTTTGGTTAAATGTTTTTTTTTTAATTTAATTTGTTAGGAAACTCGATATCTCTCAGAAATTATTAAAATTACTAAATAAGGCCCAAGATGAGAAAGCTTTTCAGATTTTCATTCCGATGATATAATAAATAGTAATAACGGTACAAACTGATTCACATGGAATGTTCTGTAAAATATGTCAACTCTGATAATCTGTGTGAGGATGTGATGAACAGAAAACAAATCTATCAATCACAAACAAATATCAAAAATTTCGCTCATGTTATGTTTATTAGTGTAGGAAGAAGTGATCCAATCGGCCTTGAAATTTCAGCTAATACTAATGTCACTACTATTTGTAACATAAAAAGAATCAAAGAAATCTAATTTTCTCAGAGACTTACTCTTTATAGATATTCTTAAACATACTAAAAATTCCATTATGGATCTTAGAAAAGCTTTTGATACTGTTGCTTACAGATAGGATATATAAGATGTTATAACAAACAATAAAGTTCTACTTCTATTCCCTTATATCATTATTCCAATAACACACCTAAAGTGAACTCAATGGTTGATTTTGGGATAATTTATCTTTTATGAAATATTCTAAATAAGTAATTATTTGTTTTTTATATAACTATACCTTTTGTTGTTGTTTGCATCGTCTCTGTTATTGTTCTTTCAGTTGTTGATAAGTCTGCATTGATTATCTTTTTTCTTATGTTAATAACTATGGGAATAATTATAACTAAAACAGCTACAATAAAAGTACATGTGATCCACGTCACTTTTCTTGCTTTTAGATAATAATAACTAGAATAATAATTTTTTTATCAATGCGTACGATTAATAATATAGTACTTACTATGGTTGTCGTTGCCTTCTATTCGAAATAACTATTTCAAACTAAAATAATTAAAAAAGACAAATTATATTATATGCTTTTTCTTTTTCTCAATAAATTACATTATCATTAACAACTCTTATTATATTATTGTTGTTCATTGTTGAAAGTTTAATACTTTTACAATCTAAAAAAGACAAAAAAAATTTTTTGTTTCATTTATAGATTTTCAGTAATCAGATGTTGTTTTTCTCATTTAGAAGTTTTTCATTCCAATTTCAACTAGAAATAAGAAATACATTAGATTAATAGAAAAAATATTTATCATGCTCTCTCTTTTTCTTTCTTAAATAATCAGCTCTTTTTTGACGTACATCATTGTGTTAATGTAAAACATCATATATCAATAAAAACAAGGAGCTCACTTCCTTTTTCTATGTTAATTTTCAAAAAAATATCTCTTGCCAGATAGAGTTGTTATCTCTTTTATAAATATGAAACTGTTTGAGATAACATTTAATGTAATTATTAATTGATAAAACATTGATTTACTTAGAAATCGAAATAAAATATTCGGGAAAACAAAAATGATTAGTATTTAATCTTTATTTAGTTATAGTCTACTAGAATAGTCATATAAAATGCATAGATTCTTTGAATAATTACATTTAGATGTGACTGTTGGCAATTGTGGAAATTATATCCCACACTATGAAAAGCTATTTACATTCTTTAAATCACTTTTGTTTCTTAATTTGTGATTGAATATTTATATAGAGAAAGTGAACATAAAGGAACCAGCAATTATATCAATCGTGAAACCTTGTACAATACCATGAAATCTGCCCTTTTTTTTTGGAATAAATATGAGGATGATACTTTGACAGATAAATATATTGTTCTTATCCTGATATCAATTCATCGTCATTCTCATTCTTTCCCATACATCATCAGAATATTTTATACTCATCTTAATCTATTAATAAAGTATTTTATCGACAATAATTTGATAACTAACAACATAGTTATAGCGGAACTCTATAAACTTTGAAATGAATGAATGAAAGAAAAATAATAAAATATTTTGTTCAAATACATTCTTTTCTTTTTTTTCAGGAAAATTTACATTTCCTTCAAAAAGTGCTGCTTTTCAATGTTTTTTTTTATAGAGATAATAATACTAGCTGTTACTTAGGCTCGTTTACATCACATGCTACTTATAGAGTTTGATATTTACAATAGATATAACATTTTATTTAAAATTCATCTGAAAAAAGGAAGTGATCTTGTTGTTTTCATCGATATATGATGCTTTGTCACAAATATTTTATATCAAGATGATTATATGCAGTAAGCATCAGAATTATTCACTCATTATTATTTTTATTTGAAATAAAACCAATACATAAAAATAAAGTGAAAGATATCATTTGAAAATCCATTTCCTGGTATTGAATATTTTAAAGAATGTTGAACATAGGTGATGACTCTACTAAATATAATGAGAAAACCATGAAATAAATAAAATTAGCAAGAATTTCATTTGATTTCTAATGATTAACATTATTGAGAAAATGATTTTCTCATTTGTTTTACTCTGTAGAAATATTTCTATTTTGTTATTAATTATTTGATGAAAACTGACCAAGATAAAAATAAAAAATTTATTTTTTCTTCTCTATTCGCCTACCTAATGATGTCAGTGGGAATTTTCTTTTTTTTTGAAATATTTATAACAGATACAACATTTGAATTTATTAATAAAGAAAAACAATAAATCTATTTCCTTTTACAAAACTAATGAGAAATGTCAGGGATTATTTGTTGTAAATATAAAAATGTTCATGATATTGAAATTTTGTAGGAAGGATGTGAAAACAAAGTGTTTCAGATAAAACATAATGTTATTCTTGTTAAGTATACATCGCAAATCATGTCTTTACGAAGGAAATACAACACTTCCTAAACACTAAAATAGAAGTTTTTTGACAACAAAATGTTTTTGTTGTATTATATTTAGTTGAAAGAGAAAATATATTGACAATATCTGTTATGAAAAATGTATTGCACAATTGATTTTATTCTTTTGTTTCACAGATTTGATAAATGATAATAAAAGCGTAATTGTTTATCTTCAGAATGAATCTTCGTCAAATGCTTCTCGACACTATGAATATCATCGAAACACATCATTCAACAAAATTAACTGAATTCATCATTTTATCATCCTTTAAAATTGTTCACCATCATGAATAAGTATGATCATATTAACATAGTTATAAGTAAAAATAGTCTATCAATCATTTCTTTTGTACATCTTTAAAATAGGAAACACTTTAGCGAAGAAAAATAAAAACAATGAGTTATTTTAAGGGCCTGGGTTAGATATGGCCATAATATACTCAAAATGAACCATCAGTGTATTTATTTCAACTACATACAAGAAGATTGAGTTGTCGATAGTCTCGATTTCTGTACATTCCCAGAAATTTGACTAACATCCACATCCTCAAGGTCATTTATTCATTTTATAAAACATATAAATGAATATATTTCTTCGATCGTGATCTTTATAATAATAATAAACTTAAAAGATAGATTTAAATAATTAAATAAACATAAATTGTTCAGGATAATCATTTGAATAATTCTTTAACCATAAAGGAATAAAAGTTTTTTTTTGTTTTAGTTTTTCTTTCCAAACATAATAAATTCTTCGTTTAATTAAATATTTTTTTTCATTCGTTAATATAAATTTCGTATGATTATAATCTAAATTTAATCCAATAAAATTTCTCATCCCATGAATACGTTGTCGATTATGAATAGGTCCAATTTTTAATTGTCTACTATTAAATATTCCCGAAGCTAAACTAAATGTACTAGATCCATGAATTAATATATCATTACGTACTAAATGATTAAATGTTTCTGAAGTTTTTCCATTTAAAATAAATGATATTCGACAACGTGATTCAGGTAAAAAATTTTTTAATTCTTTAAGAATATCATTAAAATCATTAGGATGACCTTCACTATAAATTGTTATAAAATATTTCTTTTGAATTTCATTTGGTAATGATTTTATTAAAAATATTAATAATGGTGCATAAGCTGAATTTGATATATAACGTTGAAAAATATTAAATATAATTTTACCTTGTTTATTTCGTTTAATAACATCACCTCGACGAATATGAACACCAATTAATAAATTATTCTCAATATCAATTTGAGGACAACTCATTGGTTTATAATTTAATGGAATTGATAATCCTGCCCAAACTCCATTTGGATATTGATATAATTTTCTATGTTGTAACCACCAACGAATTTCCATAACAATTCCTAATTCCATTAAAGATGATGTTATTATTATTGTTCGATTTGAATAAAATATAAAACCATCATTTTTATTTGTAAGATTCATTAAAAATTGTGAAAACAAATTATTTAAATGACGTTTTATTGAAAAATTTTTATCTAATGTTTGATTTGATATTAAATTATAATAAAAAAATTTTTTTTTAATTAAAGAATTATTTGGACATGATTCATAAGCTGAATATGGAATTTGCCAATGATAAAATAACCAATATTTATCTCTTTCAACATTATTTTCATCATATGAATGTTCAGCAATCCAATCAAAATTTATTAAAGTTAAATTTAATTTATATGCAATATTTAATAAACCTAAATACCACATTAAAACAGATCCTGTTCCATCATGAACACGTGAAAATCGAGCATTATTTATTAATAAATATCGACCATAATTACAATCAATTTTTGGATGATATGTTAATAACATTGGATATTTTTCTTTATATTTTTTAAAATAACGATTTAATGATTCATCAATATCAGAATAACATGGAGTTTTATCATACATACATTCATCGATTATATTCATTGAGAATAAACTATTACATAATGATATAATTAACAAAGAAAAACTAATTATTATCAGAAATAGATAAATATATTCTCTTCGTGATGTAAAACGTCGACATTTATAAAAAGATCGTCTTAATAAAGAAAGAATATTCATTATCTAAAAAGATTAATATGAAACATTTGTTAAAGTTAAATTATTTCGAAAAACAATTTTATAATAATATTCTATTTGAGAATATTAAATGTCGAAAAGAAAAGAGAGAGAGAGAATATGTATTAAGAAGAATTCGTCAATCTCAGATCGTTATTTTCTTGTAATAAGAATATATCAGAAAAAAAAGAACAAAGTAATAGATGAGATGATATTCTATATTATCATATCTTTGCAATGAATAATTCTCAGATAGACAAAGAAAGAAGAAGAAAAATATAGAGAGAATAATAGCAATTAGTCTGTGAAGGTTTATTTTCTTTATTTCGATAAAAAAAAGGTTCTCTCTCACACACACACTCAATAAAAGTTTAAGAGAAATATAAAATTAAGAATCAACAAGAACATCAGCTAAATTAGGCCCATTTCTATTATTTTGTAACCAAAAACTAATATCATAAGTTCGTCCACGAACAATTGGAAATGATTGAATTAAATAAGTAAGACCATTTTGTGTTCCATCAATATAATAACAATTACCTAAATGAGGAAAATCCCAACCAATTTGTGATAAAAATGGATAATTATTTTGATTTGTTGTTAAACGATATTGTGAATATGATAAAGTAAAATTATTTTCAATAATATGTTAGACATTTACAGACTCGTCGAACTTTATAGATTTTTTTCTTTTTTCACTAAAAAGTGTTGTAATTCAATTTTTTTGTACTTTGTGTTGGTCTGAATTGAAATATTGATCTCACCTTTCATTGAGGGTGTGGGCATAGTTCTCAAAGTTATGAGTATTCACCCATCACACATTCACACCTTTCAATGTCATCAGACACAATATGATGTACAAGGTAAACTAATTAGATTTGATAATGGTATTTTATTTTGAAATATATCCTAAAATAATAAAAAGAAATTTTTCGATTTGTTTTTTCTTAAATTAAATTTACAAATTGTTCTGATAGATGTTGATGTCGTTTTAAAAAAGAAAAATGAATTTTATTTAAAGTTTTTTCTAAAAATGAATCATTTTCAATAATTTTAACAATAATATCATATTGAAATAATTTCATAGATAAATATTTTATATTAATTATTATATGTAAACCATTTGTTTTATTTAATAAAATTTTCTTACCATTGATATTCTCAATAGAGAAATCTTTCCAAAATTTTATATGAAATCTTTATTATGATGTGATTGTTTTAAATAATGTATTATAAGATTTATTTCATTATACTTATTAAGAAAAAAAATCGTTTTTATTATTGAAACAATGATTTAATGAAAAAATTTGTTTTTTTTTTGAAATTGTTTTAAAGAATATTGTAAACATTTATTGTATTGATTTTTATCAAATAACATTTCATTTAAATTATTATTATTTAAATAATAATGAAATAAATAATTCAAATAATATTATTGGAATTAAATAACAACATCGAACACGTTTTATATATCTATCTTTTTATTTAAAACATTCTCTCATTTTTATCTTTCTTATTTTCAAAAAAAAAAATTTACTTTAGATTTATTTTTGATAACATTTATTAACTATATATTATTTTTTTACATTGACTTTTTGTTTTTTATTTACCTCACAAATATTTCTTTATTTCAACAATTCTCATCAGTTTAGAAACTGTTGAAGAGAAAATCCTAAAAAAATTGTTACATGAGATTTAATCGATTTGAAATACTGAAGTTTCTTCACTAAACATGATCTGATCTGGCTTAAACTGATAGAATTATTATACGCTCTATTAACAGAATAGGTTTGAGCCAGATCAGATTATGTTTAGTGAAGAAACTGACTTCACCACTATAAAAATGTAGCAAAACTCGTAATAGTGATGATTGCGTATCTCTACTCAGGAGGCCTGGAAAACCAAACCCTTCTAGGTATTTAATAACTCACTGAGGCCTGTCGTTTGAACCTATAGCCGATTCAAAATCGATTTGACACCTGGGTATGTTCCTTCGTTAATATTACAATTTAATGTTCTTTTAAATATGGTCTAAATTAAGATTTTTTTTATATTCTAGAATTTAAATCCAGAACCAACAGTCGAAGTACAACGTTTAGAAGATGAACTTCTCCTATTCGTAATTGATTTGGAACAATAAATGAATAATTTAAGAGCAGAATTAATCCAAGCAAAAGAAGATAAGAAAAACATTGAGGGTGTTGGTGTGGGTGTGGGGTGTATTAAATTACATCTACTCACATTTAGAGCCACATCCACCTCAAAATGTCTAACTAACGTTGTGCATGCCTATTAACGAAAACAAATTTGACGAAATATTATAGATTGGTTTCCAATATTCTTTGGTTCCATGAAACGTATTGAATTTGTTTGATAAATGTTTTTTTCTAGAATATTCCAACTGGCGCAAACTCTCATCGACAGCATGTATTGGCCATCACAAGCAATTTTCGTCGTACACATACTCGAGCAGAAAATTCTGCACGTACAAGAATTAATCAATTACTATGTCGTTACATTCGAATGATGTTTGTTATTGATCTAATCATGGCGGAATAAGCCATATAAATAACAATCGTAAGAAAATCTTTTAGAAAAAAGCAAATAATTTTATTTATATTCAGGAGTGCCAAAATCATATTCAATTCATTTTCCTGTGAATGATGGATGTGGGTGAGTGTGACTGTGGGAACAATGAAGAAATATGATATCTGTAACTACACTCACACTTCCAGGATTTTTATATAGATTTGGATGTTTTCATTACAAGAAACTGTTAACTTTGCTATTGATTTTAGTCTAATGGAAAATTAGTTTTTATTTATTGTAGTATTAAATATTCGAATAAATTTAATTTATAAAAATCTTCTTGTTTTGAATATATAACATATTTTATTAATAAAAATAGATATGATAGTGATAAATAAATATAATTGTAGAATTATTTTTAGATCTTTAAGTTATTAGAAAAGATTTTTAATTTCATTTAAATAATTGTCTAAACATAAATTTGTCATAAAATAATATAAATTAATATTTAAGATAATTTTATAAGAAATTTCTTTTATATAAAAAAGATTAACTAATATAAATAGAAATCATTAAAATATATATGAATGAATATTTACTATCATTATGATTCATGATTATATAAGATAAGAATTATAGTTAATATATATGAAAACAACCTTTTGAAAAATTCTAAAACAATCAATCACTTGCATTTTTTCTATTTTAAATGGATTGTAGAATATGCAGCGCACACGGCCATAAAAAAATATTTGTTTATGTTTTGTTTCGTTCTGTTCTGTTCTGTTCGCTTTCATTTAGGCCTCATTAGTTTTATATTCTTTTTTGTATCATTTTTATCACAGTTTGCGCACTACAATTATATTACATCAATAATACACATGGTTTGCGAAAGTAAATACAACACATAATATGAAATACATGCATCAATTTTTAAATTAAATTAAATCAAATCAGAAATGTTCATATCTACACTGGTAAAATACTGAAAAAGCCAAATGATTCTACACAAACGATCAACTTTTGTTTTTTATTCAAGATGATTTCAATTGTAACATCATCCTATGATTTTTTTTCTGAAAATGTACTGCGTTTATAGTGAAAATTTGTTATTATTAAGCTGAAGTATTGGTATCAGCTATTTCATTTATTTGTTTGTATGCCATACATGATTGATTCTCAATCTTTCCTTAATATTAAAGATACAAATATGAGAAAAAGGCACAAATAAGATGTGATGGATGTTTTTTTAAAATTATCTTACTGAAAAGTAGTAAAAACTTTTCTATTAAATGTGTGTCCAGTAGTAATTGAAATCCTCTCAATTCAGATAAAGAAAATCGTATATGATTCGTCATTTTTCTAATCAACTTAAGTTAATTTATGTACGAATTAATTTTAACTTATTTATGATTTGTTGAACACTATTGCAAATGTATAAAAAGGCGAAGAAAATTGAAAGAGCTCAGGTTGAATTAATTTACAAACGATAGTAAACTCATGATGTTCGAGAGGTGATATATAAAAAATAGAAGTGGCAGAAGAAATTTCCGATTCTTAATAAGTTAGTTTCTCAAACTAGATTGAACAAGAGAGTTGCATTCTGACGTTACAAGATACAAATTTTAGTGCAATTTCTGGTTATATTCTGCTTTAATCAACATTTGTTTTGTCTGTTTGTAACATGAAAATTACTATGTACTATAAAAACACTGTGTTCAGAAGGATGTATAATGAAATCAAAATTTAAATCGGCTAAACAGGACTTGCAGATCAATTACAATTAATTTATAATCAGTCAAAATCAAAACTAGCGATCTAATTACTTTGAAATAAAATCAGAATTATAAATGATTAGAACTTCAAATTTATAATCGGTTTAATTCATTAAAATTTGGTAATTTCAATCATCTGTAATCCTACTTTAGTTGCATGCCCAAGTCGAAATGTATGTTAAAAAAAGAATCTGTTTCGGCGATTCCATAAAATCCATATTCTAGCCAGATATTTTTCAAATTTCTCCATAGCTACCACTCGATCTGGGTAATAATTGGCTTTAAAATTTAGATTAATGTCTAGAGGATTTTGCAATTTTGATCATTTTTAACCGAAGAAACGTTTTATTGAGCAGTATAAAAGTCTAATAAATCTTGTATAATTAGCGTTCAATTTTAATTCGAAACCACCTATTCAGTTTTATTCAGACTTTAATTATTTAGGATATGATGTCTTCAACTATCAATAAAATCATGTTAATATTCTTTCGAAAATAAGTCATTCTTAACTCATATACTCTCGCCTAAAATTCAACAAACAGCTCATCTGACATAGTACTAAACCAAAACAAAAGTTTGAGCAATCATTTTATATCGTATACAAAATAAATTTAAATCTGGACATTATAAGCCGCTGAAGTGTTACTTGAGACAACTGTTGCTTTCTAATTATATTAAAATAGTTACAAAATATTCGCCTTCATGTATCAAAAAACAACCATTTTAATGATTTCATAATCGTAACACACACAAGCGATACATAAAACGAGAAAAAAACATCGTCCAATTACAAGCATCCACATCATAATATCTCCGTCTATTTCATTAATGTAAGAGAACTGATCAATTACTCATATTTCGATTACCTACCTACACTGAATATAAGCAATATGCGTTACGTAGACGAAAGAAAAAGAAAAAATATATATTATCGCTTCTATTTTATTTCTTGCTTCTTTTTTCACATTACAAAAAAGAATAAAAAGACAAAAGTAAAAACAAACATCGTCCAATTAGAAGCTTCCACATCATATTATGTTTGTCTATTTTATTAATGTGAAAGAATCGATTGATTACTCACATTTTGCTTATCTACTTACTGTGAATATACGCAATATGCGTTACATAGACGAAAGAAAAAGAAAAAATATACATTATCGCTTCTATTTTTTGGTTGCTTATTTTTTCTCATTACAAAATAGAATAAAAAGACAAAAGTAAAAACAAACATCGTCCAATTGCAAGCATCCACATCATAATATCTCCGTCTATTTCA